CACTTCATGGAAATTAGCAGAGGGTTGGGTTTTTTCCTTTAAATGAGTCTCAGGAAGACACTGGTGGGGGGGTTATTTCTGCTGTAGGATTCTTTCTTGCCAAGCAGTTGCTCTCCCAGGAATCACACTCTTCCTCAGCCCAACCCTGAGTGAAACTGGAGGCAGGTCCTAGCTCAGGCATGTTTTCCAGGCTGTGGCGGGGAAGCCTCTTCATTACAGTGGTGACTGATGCTAAGTGTCAGCATCTCTATAGCTCTTTCTGCCTTAAGTGTGCAGCAGTTCAGGGGAGATTATGCTCCTTTGTCAATTAGGGCCATTACCTCTTGATTAAATTCTCCTCCAGAAACCCAGGGAGGTGCACAGAAGAGGGAAAACAAGGGCTGGCAAAAAAGGCCTCCCCAGACAGACAGCCACCAGAAAGGACTGCATTCATTTAAATGTTCACAAAAAGGAAATTTCATCTAGCTGCTAAGAAGTCTGTAAAATTTTATCCCAAGCAGTGAGCACTTGCAAACCTTTGAATCTGGGGAGGGATCCACTGCTCAAGACATGCAACATAGTCAAGATAGCATTAGGTCTGATGGGGAAAAAGCTCTGCCCAGCTACAGCTGTTTACTTGCTGTGAAGCTGCTTCCCCCATCCCTGCTCACACAGACAGAAGCACGAATTTGTATCATGCTCTATGTACAGGTGTTTTCCTGAGCAGAAAGATGGTGTTGTGGGTTTTTTTATTATTATTACTCCCTCTGTAATTCATAGTACATCAACAAGTGGAGCGTGAGTCCGAGGCATTTGAAAGCCAAACCTGTTTGGGTTTTAGGTTTTCCTGCTTGTTGCAATCTAGTTGAACACTGAGTTAATAATTAAAGGGAAGGAAAAAAAAAAAGCAAACTTCCTGGGGAAGTGGGTGGCCATAGCACCTGGCACAGCACCTGTGTTTCTATGTAAATGCTCCAGGTCCTGGCGTGCCTGCCTGGAGGTCTCCCCTTCTAGCTCTCCTGCTCCTGATCTTTCTATCACAGGGCTTGCTCTGATCTGGGAAGCAAATAAATATTTGTAGGAGCCCAAAGGGAGGATTAAATAGTAGGTCTCTTGACCAACCAGCTGACAAGGTAAAACTTTGGCCTCTCCTCAGCAACCTCATTGCAGGGTGGCTGAAGGAGCGAGGGGACCCTTTTACCCCACGGTGCAGCCACTCACTGCCCCAGCATCCCAGCTTGCCCCAACCCCAGTGCTGGGTGGGAGATGCCCTCAGACACCACTGGTTGGCTGCTGGATCCCTGCCCAGACTGCCTGCAGAAACTGCCTTGGCTGTAATTTCTTACCTGTGAATAGTTATTTTATCCCTTTCAGGGATATCTGAAGCTTGTCTGTACAAGCCACCAATACTATTGGAAAAACATCTGCACAGTATATGTATGTGATTGTAACTGGTTGCTAGATCCATAAGGCTTTTAAAAATGTCCTAGTCCCCATGTTGTCTTTCTGTATTTCCACAGTGACTGACTTGTCTTGCCATTTGTCTGTGTCCATCTCTGTTCTGAGCAGAGCTTGGAGTCCTGGCTGGGGTGCCCCTTCCTGAAACCTTCCTAGGCCTCCCAGGACATTGCACCAGTACAAATAATACCAGGGACAATGTTTGGCTAATAAAATTCTGCCTTGACTCCATAAACCCTGGATTATTGTATGGACAGTACTTTGGCTCAAATTCTTTTCTCCCTGTGTTTCTGGAGCATGCTCTTCTCTAGGTGTGAAGCTCCTGGTGAACCACACACAAGCTTTCCAGCATCTCTGTCTCCCTGTAGCAATGCCACACCCTGATTTGGAGGCAAAACCAACCTGAGCAGAATCTAAACAAGCCATGGAATTGGACTTGCTCACTAAGCCTTCAGGGAGGGATTGGCAGCTCCAGCCATCTGCCCCAATGTCCTGGCTCTGCTCTGCAGCCTGCTCAGGCTGCCCCCACGGGCTGCAGACCTCCAAAATCAGTTTTAAGTCGGCATACAGCAGGTGTCTGCAGTTTGTGGCCTTGCTTGGACAAGGGGGAAAAAAATCAGGCAGGTTATGTGCAAGGCTTTTTTTCCACCCTTGTAGTTGTTTTGGGAATGGAAAGGCACTCGGAGCAAGCTACAGGTCTGCATCACCAGGAGGCTGATCTTGGAGACCAGGTCTGCTACCCTTGGTTTCTGCTTGGAAGTGGCATGGTGGCATGCCTTATTTGATTTTTTCTTAATCTTCTGGGATTGGTGTTTTTTTTTGGTAAATATAAAGGTCACCTTTGAAATCTAACAGTCATAAACCAAGGTGTATCATTCTCAGTGGAAAAATTTGTAATATACAAAGAATTTTGCCTTGAGCATGCACCTTGGGGAAGACAGTTTTCACAGCATTTTTTACTTCACTTTTATTCTTTAGGAGTAAATGTTGGGGTTTATTACATCCATTACCACTTGTTTCCTAAGAAGGGTATTTATGAACAGAGAGATTGTCCGGTTTGAAGAATCCACTGTAGTGTAACCCCTTGGACCAAAAAGCTATTGGAGCTATGTAAATATTACAAGTATTTTGGGTATTTACTTGATGGATCCCATAGTTTAGATCAAAAAAATAATAAAACCAAGAAGAGTTAGTCGTGGGTTTATGCAGATAACAATGCTCCTGCCCCATAAAGCTCAACGAAGTGGTGGTTAGTGGCTGGCATGAAGCTGAGCAATAAGCTTTCTTAACAAATTACTAGTCTGCACTCCACAGCACACTTTTCAAACGTCAGCTATGATTATCATTTCAGAATTAACCTATCCTACTGGGCATGGAGGAGGATGATTTCAGACTACTTTGCAAGCCTACAGAAGTCAGCAGCTGATGGGCTTGCCTGGCTCCTGGGAGGTGTCTCAAAGCATCAAGGTTCTGTCAGAAGGCAATTTAAATAGCACAAGGATGAGTTGCAGTGCCTTGAGAAAGGGAACTGTATGTGCATGCTCGTTGGCGTGCTGTGCCCCTCATGCTCACTCTGGGGGGCCAGCAGTGAGCTCCAGCTGGGTCAGTGGTGCAAGCACCCGGCCATGCTGCCCCCAGGGCTTGCTGGCTACCACCGTGGGGACGGAGTATCCTGCGGCCATGCCCTGGGGCCTGCCTGGGGCCAACGGCTGACCCTAGCAGGGGGATTCCCACCTTGGCCACATACCTGTGAGACCACTACTGGGTGTTTCATCTAACTGAGAGCTGCCAATCCTTAGTGCTGTACCCAGAGGATGCACCCCATCTGTCCTACAAAGATCCATGTTGGTGCCCCTGTCTTCCCAGTCCCACATGCCAAAATCTCCCATCAGCTGGTTATCCTAGTCTTGTATTGCCTTAGATAGTGGAAAGATGAAAGAGTTTTACTTGCTCTAAGCAGAGTTCCCTCTTGGTTATTTTGACTTGGTATTTATAAATCAAAGCCAATTAACTCTTTCTTCCCTGACTTCAGAGCAGGATTCTCTGCACTGGCAGTGGTATTAAAGATTCCTCTGTAAGCCCATAATGACTTTTTGCAGGTAAGTGCTCATGAGCTCTGAGCCTGCTCTGAAGTGAGGTGAAAGCAAATTAAATTATGACATAAATGCTCTCTCATACTATCTGCCTACCCATCCACCTATAGATAACATTTTGTGTTATTACTAGCAGCAAATGAAGGCTTTTGGGAAATACCAGTCACATCTAAACACAGGGGGAAAGGTGTTGACAAAGTGGTTGCAAAGGCAGACCTCAGCTTAATGAGCCTAAGCCAAAGATAGCCCGTTTTCTTTCTGCTTGCCTCATCCGTGCCACCCTGGTGTGTGCCTGCATCTCTGCCACTGGCTGTGGCTGCTGCTGAGCAGAGGTTCTGTGGCAGTACCACTGGAGAGCAGCTGGAAGTTCCTGTCGTCACCTGGCTGCTACTGGGGGTGGGGGTGGCCAAGGAAGTTCTGGGGTGTGAGGTGTGCTCAGTTTCCAGTGGGGTGTGAGAACATGAGCTGCAGCTGCTGCATGTGCAGCCCGGCCACACGACTCTGCTCAGAGGTGACAAACCTTACAGAAAGGTCTCCTTCTACCCCACGCAACCTTTTGGAGAACAAAACCTTGCCCTCCTTCCCTGGATTAGGAGAAGAACCAGGACCAGCTCAGTGCAGGTGTGGAAGGTGATGTTGGACTTTGTTAGTTGTTTGAGTGAGGTTAACTAGGTGAGTTTCCCAGCCCAGCCACAAAGCTCATCTGGCCAGAAGCCTCTCCCCAGGATGGGGAAAATTGTACTTTGTGTAGCCCAGTCATACCAGATACCCTAACTGCTATTGCTAAGAAAAAAATGAAGCCTGGTGAATCTAAGCATTGCATTTCACCTGTCACAGCACTGCCTGTCAAAACATGTAAGCTAACGAGTCCTGAAAACTTCGCACCATGTATAAATTGATTATGGGGCTGAGAAAATGCAAAGGGAATGTGAATAGATTGAAAATTCATACTGTTAACCCAGAAACACTGACAGGGCTTGGTGCCAGGTCTTGAACCAGCTGACAGGCAATAATAAGCAACAATCTAGCTCCACTGACAGCTTTCAATGCAGATGATCTAATGAACTATGGAGATGTATTTCAATAAGGACACTTTCCTGAAGAGCACAAGTTGAAAATGAGCAGCATGGGAGCTGCTGTAACACACTGAGGCAAAACCAAGCCCCAGTGATATAGTGGGAACAGCTGGCTGAAGAACCAGGTGTCACTGTAATAATTTGGGGTCTCCAAACACTGATTGTCCAGCTGAAAACTTAGCTGCTACAAAGCCGTGCATAGGACTTATTTCCAAAAGTTCATCCATGGTGGTGTGTTTGTGGGCTTCTAGAAGCATCATCCCCAACTGTAAGGATGCAACGATCCTGGTGGTTATTAGTGAGTGAGG